ATCTTTCTTGTGTAAAACATTCAGCTCATTTGGACTTCTAGAACTCCAGATATGGCGAAAATACTAAACAGTGCTCGGGCTGGAGGACAGATTCGGGCTTCTTTGTTGTTGCTACAATTCGGACTTGAAAATGGCCTTTGTAGATCTTGAGCTCCATATAAAAGTTGTAAACCTATATCTTACCTTTCCATCCATATAAAGTAGACCTAAATCTGAGATCTATAGCTCCAGATATGACCCAATTACCAAACAGTGTTCCGGTTTGGATTGCACCGACATCTCTTTTCTTAGTTTGGTCATCTCTTTATCCTTGCAATTTAAGTTCTTAAAGTCATCAATCAATCCTTTCATTTATGTGATAGGCCTGCATTTAAAATGAACATTTACCACAAATTAAAGGTATCTTATATCATTAGATATATTATTATAAAACATTCTTTAGTTAAGGAGTTATTAATACTTCAAGTGCAAAATGATGATATAAAACCATGATAAAAATGCACTTTTAAGTACTAATTGAGCACAAAAAAAAGATTTATTAATATCTTGTTAAGAGGTATTGAGCAGATATATAAATTTAATGAGAGTTTGTTTATTTGGATAGATTAATGGAAGTTAAATGATGAATACCTTCCTTTGTAGAATTTACAAATTGTTTTTCTATTTTAACTAACGCTTTGATTACTAGGGACTAGTAATAAGCTGGTTGGGGGGTGTGATTAATACTTAAAAGTGCATTTTTATCATGGTTTTATATCATCATTTTGCACTTGAAGTATCAATAACTCCTTAACTAAATCATGTTTTATAATAATATATCTAATAATATAAGATACCTTTAATTTGTGGTAAATGTTCATTTTAAATGCAGGCCTATCACATAAATGAAAGGATTGATTGATGACTTTAAGAACTTAAATTGCAAAGGCAAAGAGATGACCAAACTTAGAAAAGAGATGTTGGTGCAGTCCATACCGAAACACTGTTCTGTAATTGGGTCATATATAGCGTTGTAGATCTCAGATTTAGGTCCAATTTATATGGATGGAAAGGTAAGACATAGGCCTACAACTTTCATATAGAGTTTAAGATCTAAAAAGGCCATTTTCAAGTCCAAATTATAGCAACAACAAAGAAGTCTGAATCTGTCTTCCAGCCCGAGCACTGTTCAATATTTGACCCATATCTGGCGTTCTAGAATGAATGGTTTTGGAAAGAGGTGATTGTAAATCTAGTGCTGTTCTGTAAAAAATCCTATTCCTATACATTTTCTTTTCTGAGTTCATGGATGTTTATAAATCAATAAATGAAATTCATTTATTATAAACATAACGACGAAGTGGCAATGGTTTAAGCACTCTTGCAAAAGAGATTCATCATGAATTAGCTGAGTTTGCTAACCAACCTTCCTAGCCCATCTCATCAATTGGAATATGAACAAGATCTGATGCGAACCTCGTGATCACATGGTCACGCAACCCACACGTAAAGACGCCAATTCCCGGAAAGCCAAGTAAATCAGGTTTGATAGGAGTGTGACACAAAGATAACTTGTACCTAGGCACCAGCACTATTGGAAACGGAAGACCCCCACCCAACGAATATTTATTCGCGAACGAGAAGTATAAGGATGACGCCACGAAGACAGTTGTTCTTCGATAAGTTGTTTTTCAGTTCATTAGAGAACCATGGAAGGGAGATTATCTCACCAACACACACACACACACACACAAAGTGCGGCAAACAAGAAGTTTTATTAATCTGAATAGTCTTCCTCTACATGTTTGGTTATGCCTCTATTTATAGTGATTTTAGACTTAAAAGAAACCCTAATGAACCCCCCTTAGGTGGACTTATATGTAGTCCACTTACAATTGACCCAAATAAGTAATAATAACCCAAAGACTATGAAGAAAATAATAAAAATATAAAAATCTAAAAATTACTATCCTAAATATGCTAGAATCAGATTTGTCACCATTAAGAAGTCCCAAATAGACTAGGAAATCTGATCTGAAGGTAGAATGTATTCTAAAGTCTTCTTTCCTTTTGTAGCTCGGTTGAATAAGGAATCCTTGTAAGAAAAGGATTCTGAAATAATTATGAATCCTTGCCACACTTGGAAACTATGTTGCAGCCCATTAAACATCCTTGTAGAATTAGTATATTTCCAAAATAAGTTGCCACATCCCTTTAGGAAAAGAATCCTAGCCAAATAGGAAGTCCACAAGTCAAAAGGAAGTAAATAACAAAATTCGTACAGCCTCTGTTGACCCATATTGAGATACCTTCTTGAACTCCGATTGACCTGAAATTTTAAACCAAGGTAATACAATATCTCAGGAGACTCCATGTAAAATTTCAGCTCGATCCAACGGTCGGATTGAGAATTATAACTATTTCCGTAAAACTGGATAGTTGCACATTTTACATCAAAATTCAAATTTGACCTTGCTTGGATCGTATCAAGAACTTCAGTGAGAGACAACTGGTTCAAAAAAATAAAAACTAATCCATTACCTTGTCCTCATGTTGATCATATGTATCAATGCATTCATTTGTTTTGACTGTCCACAGCTTTACCACACAATCAGCACCTAATAATATGTATTCAAGCTGATTAAAAATAAGATTAAAAAAAAAAAACACCCTAAAGCAGGATAAATCTCATACCACACGAAACAAATTGAGTGCCACGAGTAAAAAATGATGCTCTTAACACACTTGATGTGTGCCCTTCAAATGTTTTCAAGCATGGCCCATTTGCTATAGCCCACATCTTCATTGTTTTATCACCAGATGCTGTTATGACACACTGATCAACTGGTGAAAACTCTACTGACCATATTCCTCTTTTATGCCCTTTAAGTACACCTACAGATACCAGATCTGGCAGCCTCCATACACAAGTTGTCCGGTCCTGAAAACAAATCACCGTTCATCATTTAACCAGAAATAAGTTATATAAACCATGTAGAGAAGCAATGGTTTGAAGGTTCCTAACCTGTGAACCGCAAAAAACTAAAGTATCATTTGGTGCAATAGCCAGAGAATTTATATCCTTGTCATAGGTTGCCACCACAGCTTTTGCTTTCAAATTTATAGGCTGGTCAACATCATCTGAGATACCATCTGTACTCCACACCTTGATGGTACGATCGCTAAACAAAGTTATAGGGATATTTTATGACATCCAAAATAAGAGATATTATCAGGTCTAAGAAAAAGAGAGATATTATCCAATTCTATAATGAAACTGGTTTCATACTTACCAAAAAAAAAACAGAAAAGCATATAGAGTTATTGTCACATTCAGTCATTTATGAGTTAATCTAAATGTCAGCATGAGTGTTTTAAAAAAGAAAAATCTCAGATTGGTTTAAATCAAACAGTGCATGTAAAACAATAAGAAGATGGAGAAATTTAGGCAAGGAAGAAAACAAGAAAAATGACAAATACTTTTTTTTTTGGTAAGTTGACGTATATATTAAAGGAAAACGATACAAAGATTATAAGGGGCATACCCCAGATTTACAATAAGAACAGAAACGTAAAACAACAGATGGCTACATGCTAGCCACCGAACTGAAAACTCAAGACCTAACTTGATTCGTTAGGGAAACCAATACAACCAGCTAAATATCAAATGAAGAATCTATGTTATTAACCCTCCATGCTCGTTGGATTCTTTTATTTTCATCTGTTGGTAGAATGTTCCTCATCAAATCAAGCTTATCACGGATGATACATTCGATTTGATGAAAGACCAAATTCTGAGTTCTAGATATTCCAGCAAAGGTCCTTGCATTCCTTTCTTGCCAGATATGATACACTGTAGCTGCAAAACTGAGTTTACGAGAAAAATTGACAAAACTTTTGCCATGCCAAGTGACAGTGGCCCATCGAATCCATTCATCCCATCCTTTTGTCATTCTTGGAATGTTGCATCTGTCACAAACATCCCACCAGATCGCTTTAGTATAGGAGCATTCAAAGAACAAGTGGTTGTGATCTTCGTAGTTGCGGAGACAGAGTGAGCATCTATTGGGACCATGTATACCAAATCGATGAAGTCTATCTTGAGTTGTGAGTTTCTGTTAGACAGCCACCCATAGAAGAAACGAATGTCTTGGAACAGCATTCTTGAACCACACAATGTCATGCCATTCGACCATCGTATGATGAAATCTTAGTTGTTCCCAAGCTATTTTGATCGAGAATCTGTGATTTGGTGAATCCAGCCAAACAATCTCATCATTTTGACCTATCATAGGATTAGAATTGGAAGGAATAGCTTCTACAATGGGGTGCCATCCAATAGCGTGAGTGGTAGGAATTTTCCATTCTGAGTTATGAATCAACATATTCACCTTCGCGTTCTTTTCCATACCTGAATCATAGATGAATCTGTCGCCGTAAGAATCTGCGAGCGGGCTGTGAGGATGCCAATTGTCAAACCATAGAGAAGTTGTCCTGCCATCCCCTATGGTGTACTTCATCTTCGGCCATGCTAAGGATCTGAGCTTTAGAATCTTTCTCCATGCCCAAGAGCAATTCTCTGGCGTCTTGATTGTCCAGAAATTCCTACCTCGCAATAGATTACATCTGATCCAAGTAGACCAGATTGAGCCATCTGAGTCATTGCACAGGTTCCAAATGTGTTTCAACAAAGCAATCTTGTTCCATTCTGTTATCCTCTTTATTCCTAGCCCCCCCTCCTTTTTTGGAAGACATACCTGATCCCAAGCCACTTTAGCCCCAGTAGTTCTCATATCTGAACCTGACCAAAGAAAGGATCTCATAATTTGCTCCACACTTTTTATGACTTGCCCAAGTAAGAGGAAGAGAGATGCCCAATAGACCTGGATGGAAAATAAAACTGAATTAATCAGTTGTACTCGTCCTGCATATGAGAGTGTTCTACAAGTCCAATGTCGAACTTTAGAGGTGATTCGATCCACGAGACCCTTACAATAAACAGCCTTTAGTCTGGACGAGATAAGAGGCACTCCCAAATATTTCATAGGGAGCTCCCCCTCTACAAACCCAAGAACATGAATAATCTCTTCCCTCTCAGCATTTAACACACCGCTTAAGAAAATGTCACTTTTATTTGGATTTGGATACAGACCTAATAGATCTTGAAACTTTGTGAGCACAGTTTTGATCATACGAATTGAGTTTACATCTCCTTTGCTAAAAATCATCAAGTCGTCAGCAAAACAAAGATGAGAAATGTTGTCCTTCTTGCATCTCCAGTGGAACTTGAAGTTTTGGTTGGCACTCATCTTGCAGAATAGCCCCCAAAGGATTTCCATACATAGGACAAACAAATATGGAGAAAGTGGATCCCCTTGTCTCAGCCCTCTCCCCCCTTGAAAATAACCTGCAAGCTCACCATTGACGTTGATAGAGAATTGACATGATGTAACACAAACCATAATCCAATCAATGACTGTTCTAGGGAATCCCATTTTTCTTAACATAGCGTCAACGAAATCCCACCGAACCGAGTCATAAGCCTTCATCAGATCTACTTTCATAGCACAACGGGCAGGTCCCGTAGATTTATGATAGCCTTTCATTAGTTCCTGAGACAAAAGAATGTTGTCGCTGATTCTTCGTCCAGAGATAAAAGCAGTCTGATACGGACCTACTAAGGATGGCAAAACAGCTGTGATTCTCCCAGCTAGAATCTTAGCGATGCATTTGTACACGGTATTGCAGCAAGATATAGGACGAAAATCTGTCAACCTCGTAGGGTTGGCAACTTTAGGAATAAGGGAAATTGATGTAGCATTCATTTCTTTAAGCATTCTCCGAGTATGAAAGAAGGAGCTAACAGCATTGATTACATCCTCCCCAACTATGTGCCACATTCTTTTGAAGAAACCTGCGTTAAATCCATCCGGACCAGGGGCTTTGTTGTTCTTCAAACTAAACATAGCATGCTTAATCTCCTCCCTTGTTACATCTTGTGCTAATACATGTTGTTGCGTTGAAGATAGTTTCAAGTTAATTGCCGATTCCATCTCTTCCTCATTCAGAACCCTAGGCATCTGTTCCACTCTTAACACACGCTGGAAGTACGCAATGACTTCTGATTTAACTGCCTCATGTCCTTCGACAACCTCTCCATCCTCCTTTGTAAGTGAAAGAAGTTTATTTCTATGCTGTCTTCCATTTACTGATTTGTGAAAGTAGCCAGTATTCTGATCCCCCAAGCTAAGCCACTGTATCCTTGACTTTTGTTTGAAAAAACTCTCTTCGGCCTTGACAATAGAAGCGTAGTTACGTACAGCATCCCTTTCTCGCATGCACAAAGTTGGATTCCCATGTGCTGTATGGAGAGCCTGTTGAGCCTTATCCATTTCATCTTTCGCATCTTTGACTCTATCTGAAATGTTGGAGAATTGAGTCATATTGAAAAGTTTCAATTCCCGTTTTAGTTTTCTTAGCTTGCAACACAGTTGATACATTGGACAACCCCTTGAATTGTGTTCCCATTAAAAAAAAAAATGACAAATACGCCAACATTGAGAACCAAACCGAACTCCTATGTGCATCAGTCTAAAGAAAGAAAAAAAAGGCCAGTATCCATTTAAGTCCCAATGAAATGGTGATCTGTTGGAGACAGCCCTACCCTTCAGTATTTTTACATGAAATGGTTGTTCCTTAAACTCAAGCCTGACTGTTGTGACATGTGGCTGAGGCTCAAGACCTCTATCATTACACTAGATTGATTTCTCAGACAAAAAGATACATATCAAATAGGGTAACATGATTTCTCAACAATAACAATTTCTCATTCTCCGATAGGGCCACCAGAGAGTGGTTCATTGTGGAACTGTTGCATCATCATGTGAAATCCAAAAATTGAATCAATAGAATGGCCTGGGGAAGAGCTAACCTACTACCACTAACAAAGAAATTCTTCCACTTGTTTGAAAAAGCAACAGCTCCAATACATCCCATGTGTCCCATGCCAATACCAATGCAATTTATGCTCTCTGAATTCCACAATCTTACCTATTTAAAGAACAGAATCAGATATTTAGCCTAAATTCAAATGAAAATAGAGACTACACCTAATAATTAGCAAGCATGTTGTTGTTAAGATCAACCACCTAAATAGATACCTATCAACTATTTTAATGAATCAAAGTGAAGGGAAAACTACAAACATGTCATCTACAACAACATTTTGTTGAGGGGTAAGAAACTTACACTGTTATCCTTACTTCCAGTTACAAGACACTGCCTTCCTGAGCTTGATACACAGGTGTCGAGGCACAAAACAATTTCAGTATGGCTTGCCAATACATAGGAGCATGACATATATTCCAAGTCATACACTTGAACCTGCATTGTGCAAATTGAGACACATATTAGGACCCAACACTTCAAAATAGAATTTCAAATTGACAGCATCATAGACAAACAAGCACTCTAATTTAACCAAGTTTAGTATGCATAGAATATCAAAAACCAGACAGATTCATGGACATGGGAATGTTGAAGGAAAGGAGAGGGTGGGACGAGAAATATACAAGAGATACTTATAAGATCAATGTATCAAGAGACATGTATTTCTTTCTGGCCATTAACTTAACCAGTGATCATCCTAGGTATTTAGCATCTGCATACAGTGGCTGTTAACTACAAAATGTTATATACAACTTGAACCAACCAAACCATACTCCCAAGTAAACTACATTAATTGCTATTCTCTGGATATCAGCATATAAAATGATCAGGTAGCAAAATACCTATTCAAGATTTATAGCAACAACGAGAAATGTTTTCTTAACACGACTAAAAAATTGATGTCTTCTTCCAAGTGCAATAGTATTAAAGTAATAAATAACCCGGTATGACCGGGGTCGAACTACAGGGAGGTTAATTATATAAATTATAATTATATAACTTATAAACAACAATAATACAACAACAACAATAATAGTAGTAGTAGTAGTAGTAGTAATGAAAAAGAAGAAGAAGAAGAAGTTGATGAGAACTTTGAGATGAAAGATCAATGTAAGAATTAAACAATGATAACAACAAATGTCAAAGTTAGAGGATTTACTTATAGTATGTCAAACAAGTATAGTATAAACTCTTATTATTTAATTGAAAACCATAAACAAAGTAGGTTCCGATCAAATTATAAATTATTAACATGATTACAATGCTAATACTTGTAAATATTGTTAGGCATTCATGATTATAACTTATGTTAACAATAAATTAAATTCCTTTCATGGTACAAGTGTCGGTTATTCCATACGGTTTGTACTATGAAAGTCCCAAGCATTTATTATATCAAGTGTTATATAACATAAATCTAGATTACTCATTTAATAAGCGAAGTATTAAAGAGTGAACAAGATAACAAATACAAAAGATGTTAGTATCAAACATTAAGGTATATGTTGAGTTTACACTATACTTATTTTTACACCATTAGTGTAACCTTTTCACCTTGACATAATAAACTTAACTAAACATAATGAAAGAAAAAAAAATAAACAAAATAAGACCATAAATAAGATAAAAGTTAACTAAGTAAAGGAAAGAAAATAAAAGACATAAACTTAATATTAATGAAAGTAAAACATAAGCAATACAAAAAGAGAAAGCAAAAGTATGATCTTGATCTGGAAACCAAGATGCCTAAATGCATGGCAAATGCCTCCTTTTATAAGCCAAAATTAGAAACTATTGATTTGATGACTAATTGATAAGTGGGTGACCAACTCTTGACTTGGTGACAATCCTTATCTTCTTTTATCTACCCAAAACGTCATTAATAATGTCACTATTAGAACCACTTGAAAACATAAAAGTTCTAGAAAATTGTCTCAACTTTCTAGGAAAAAAACAAATTGAGGACATTTGGACTTCTATATAGGCCAAACACTAAATAATGTCTGGGCTGTAGGACAGATTCAAACTTCTTCGTTATTGCTATAATTTGGACTTAAAAATAGCCTTTTTAAAACCAAACCTCCACATGAAAGTTGTAGGCCTATGTCTTACCTTTCCATCCATATAAAATAAACCTAAATCCGAGATCTACATCTCCAGATATGCCCAATTATCAAACAGTGTGCCGGTTTGGATTGCACCAGCATCTCTTTTCTAAGTTTGACCATCTCTTTGTCCTTTCAATTTCAGTACTTAAACTCATCAATCAATCCTTTTATTTATGTAATAGGCATGCATTTAAGATGAACATTTACCATAAATTAAAGGTACATTATATTATTAGATATGTTATTATAAAACATGCTTTAGTTAAGGAGTTATTGATACTTCAAGTGCAAAATGATGATATAAATTCTGATAAAAATACACTTTTAAGTACTAATCAAACCCCCCAACTAGTTTATTACTAGTCCCTAGTAATCAAAGTGTTAAAATAGAAAAATAATTTGCAAATTCCATAAATTAAGGTATTCATCATTCAACTTTTATTAATCTATCTAGATAAACAAACCCTTATTAAATTTATATATCTGCTCTATACCTCTGAAACAAGATATTAATAAATCTTTTTTTTGTGCTCAATATATTAACACATATTTATGGGGCTTTACTTGGAGGAAAATAAAATTTTTGTTATAATGTTTAAGGTTAACTTTCTTGGGTTGAGATTTTTTTTGTTTATATATATATATATATATATATGACACGACCAAAGATTGATATCTTCTCCCAATTATAGGAGTGTCGAAGTAAAAATAACCCGACAAGACCGAGGTCGAACCACAGGGAGGTTAATTGTATGAATTATAAACAACAACAATAACAACAACAACAACAAGAACAATACTAATAGTAGTAGTAGTAGTAATAATAATAATAATAATACTAACAACAACAACAATAATCATCAATTGGTGTGATGTCAGATGTTAAATCTGTTGTCACTCTTGATAAAAGATCTGCATCAATATTTTTTGTGCCATTTTTATCTGTGATTTCTTCTTGAGAATAAATCATTTGCACATCTTTATATTCATTAAACTCTGTTTTACACACGGTAGATTCAAATTGATCATAAACTACTTTGTCAATAAGATCTACTTCCTATAAATCATTATCATCTCCTGGTTGTTTGCAAATATTGAAAATCTTCATCTCCAATGACATGTTTTCAAAAGATAGCTTTATGTGTCCATTCCTACAATTAATTAATGCATTAGAAGTTGCAAGAAATGGACGTCCTAAAATAACAGGAAATGAATTACATGTGTCAATAGGTTGTGTGTCCAAGAAAATAAAATCGACAGGATAAATGAATTTATCGACTTGTACTAACACATCTTCAACTATTCCTTTACCCACTTTTATATATCTATCAGCAAGTAAGAGAGTTATAGAAGTTGGTTTTAACTCACCTAGCTCCAAGATGAAGTAAAGCTCTTTCAATTTTATGTTCTCCAACAAAGCAAGAAATTGTAGGACAACCAGGATCTTTATATTTCAAAGCATTATTGTTCTGAAGAATGACACTTACTTGTTTGACTAAAAATGCTTTCTTTTTCACATCTAGTTTCCTTTTCACAGTGCATAGATCTTTTAAAAATTTAACATAAGAAGGAACTTGTTTAATAGCATCTAACAAAGGTATGTTGATCCTTACCTGTTTAAAAGTTTCAAAGATTTTAGAGTTGTGATTGACTTTCCTTTGTTTGGTCATGACATGAGGAAATGGAAGTACTGAGGGGAATTAGTCTTTTCTTTGCAATTTTAGATTCAACCCCTTCCTTACCCTCAAAGATTAACTCATCATCTTTCTTACAAGGTTTAATAGTGGGTTTTTCAATAACTTTACCACTGCGAAGAGTAGTAACTGATTTGACTTGATCCATATGTTGACTTCCAAAACTACTTGCATTTGCATTATATTGCCCCTTGGAATTTTATTGTGATTGAGATGGAAACTTACCTTTCTCTTAGAAACTGAGAGCATATGTCAATTTTGCAAGAGTATCTTTAAAATCTGTCACGCTTTGAGCAAGTTGAGTATTGATTGTTTCTTACTTTTCAATGAATGCATGCAATGTCTCCTTAAGATTTCTTCTAAGAGGTACAGCATAAGGAGGTGCATATCCATGAGAATTTTGAAAATTATGATGTGCTTGAAATGGTGGTTATGAAGTTTGTGCATTATTGTTATCACTCTTCAAACTAAATTTTGGGTGATTTTTTCAATTAGGGTTGTATGTTTGCAAGTATCGGTTATGATTGGGTCTTTGAAAATTGTTTAAAGTATAGGCTTGTTCATGGAGACATTCCTTAAAAGAAGACAAAGTTTGACAGTTATTGGTTGAATGTTTATTGATTTCACATATTTGACACACAATGTCTTGAATAGATTTTAATTGACAACTTTTTTTTAACTCTAATGCTTTGACTTTTTTAGCTAAAGATGCAAACTTGGCTTGGAGATCATGATCTTCCTTAACGTTGTACATACCTCCACTAGATGTATAAGGTTGAGTTTTACTTGGTGCCTCATAAGTACCTGCGATGTCCTAATTTTGAGCATTTTCATCTAGCAAGTCTATGTACTGCATTGCTTCATCAGGGTCTTTATCTTCAAAAGTTTCATTGCACATCAATTCAACCATTTGCCTATCTATAGGTGTTAACCCTTCATAAAAATATGAAACTAATCTCCATAATTCAAAACCATGATGAGGGTAAGTATTAAGCAAGTCTCGATACCTATCCCAACATTGTTAAAATATTTCTTTTAGTTTTTTAGTGAAAGTGGTGATTTGTCTTTTGAAAAAGCTTGTTGTGTGAGATGGGAAAAATTTCTTTAAAAACTGTTATTGCATTTTTTCCCAAGCACGAATGGATCCTGGTCTTAAATTTTGTAGCCATGTTTTAGCTTTATCTTTTAATGAAAAAGAAAAAAGCTTTAACCTAATGATGTTCATACTACAATTTGAGTCATTATAAGTGTCACAAACCTCCTCAAATTTTCTTAAATGCAAGTATAGATTTTCTAAATCTAAGCCATGAAAAGAAGGTAAAAGTTGAATAATGTATGGCTTAAAATTAAAATGAGATGCATCAGGAGGAAAAACTATACATGATGGTGCACTTGTTCTTCTGGGATTCATGTGGTTTCTAAGTGTTCTAACATGATTATTCTCATTATTCTAATTATGAAGTGATTGATTATCTTCTTCGGCCATATCAGGAGGAAAAACTATACATGAACAGTGCTCGGGCTGGAAGACAGATTCGGCTTCTTTGTTGTTGCTAAAGGACTTTGAGATGTAAGATTAGTGTGAAAATTATATAATGATAAAAACAAATGTCAAGGTTAAAGGATACACTAATAGTATTAGAGATGAGTAAAGTATAAACTCTTTATAAATTATCAACATGATTATATTAATCATCTTATTTACGTAACACTATACTTATAAATTTTATCAAGTATTCATGATGCTAACTTATGTTGACAACAAATCAAATTCCTCTCATAATAAGGATGCCAGCCGAAAACTATGAAGGAACAAGTATTTGATGTACCAAGTGTTATACAACACAAATCTAGATTAACTATTTAACAAGCAAGGTATTAATAATTAATAAGATAAAAATGATAAGACATGTTAATAGCAAGTTGTTTAGGATATAAGCATTGAAGTCCATATTGAGTTTATATTATACTTATCTTAACACCATTAGTGAAACTTTTTCACCTTGACATAATTAAAGGTACATCTCTTTTCTAAGTTTGGCCATCTCTTTATCCTTGCAATTTAAGTTC